TCGCTCGTCACGCCAAAGACCCGGGTTCGATTCCCGACATGGGTACAATGTGTGAAGCCCATTTCTGGTGTCCCCCGCCGTGATGTTGCTGGAATATTGCTAAAAGCGGCGTAAAACCATACTCACTCACTCACTAGTACACCCAAACATTATTAGAGAGAGGCCTAGGACACCCAAACATTATTATAGAGTTTCTAGAACTCCCAAACACTATTATAGCAAGTCCTTAGGCTGCCAAAATGGTATTACAGTCCCTGGGACATCCAATCGTTATTACAGAGTCTCTAGAGCTCACAGGCTTTTAAGATGATTAACCCATGATCGAAGGCCACAGTGACAGTGATTTAAGATTTTGATCAACGTTCATGCCTTTGTCAGCTGTATTGGGAAGGTAGGGCAGGTCATGCGTTTGTAGGGTTACACTGCAATATACCAGCCATATCATGGGGACCTGTAAGTAATCAAGTCAGACAGCTAGTGGTTGATACAATGAACAACATCCTAGAACACCAGGGTGTGATGACACAATCAACCAAGACACAGAGCCAAGCCGTTCGACCTGTTTTAGTTGCAAATCAGACAATGGGTCTCTGATTAGTCCGGTGTAGAAGTTTGTGAGATTGTTAGCAGCAACTTTATGACTCTAGGTCTGTAAGGTGGCAGGTGCTTGTGAGAAGGTATTGATTCGAAGTGAAGTAAACCTCAGTTTACCTTCATACAATGCACTGTTGATGTGTGTTCAAATGCAGGTGTAAATATGTGAACAATTTTGAATTGTTTGACTTTTCAGCCATTGAAATATGGTAGGATTCAGGGGTAAGGAAATGTTGAGGGTGCCAACCCCCTCCTGCTCTGAATCCAGAATATCATCTTATTGTTCTCATTTGCTCGCCCCTGAATCCCGAATACTACAAAACTCAAATGTCAAAAGCACGTCAGAATTTACTCCATAATGGCATTTGTCGATCACAGAAGAAAACCAAAGAGCATGGCGCTTGGTCATAAAACGATTCAATTTGAAGAAAAAATAGTAAAAAATTATTGAAAAGTTCTAATACGTTAAGGATTTTTAAAAATGTTGAATCTTTGTCCCAAATGTGGTTATTTTTTTGTCTCACATACAACATTGATGATACCCTTTACATAGACTCCCTGAATCCCGCATGTCAAAAAGGGGTTGGTAGCTTCAATGTTCCTGGGAAGGAAACTTTGGAAATCTACTTGCGTGGTTCCTGTCCAGAATTTAATAGGAAAAATATTTTTCTGTAAATACAAAAATGAGAGACCCATGGCTAAGTGTTCACTTGTTGCCCCTTGGAACCTGGTGACTGACTTGAATCCCATATTCGCCCAGATTCTGTTTTTTGGTTTGTCAGCACCATACATTTCACAAAAGTGACAAAAAATACAAGATCTGCATCACTTCAGGCTTTCCTCCCACATCAAGCCGACATTCCGGGATACAATTGAAATAGGGTTGAAACTAGCTCGCTCACATACCCTACATTCCAAAACAGTGTTTGAAATTAATGAAAGAATGTAAGAATCAAGGGCAGACTAGGAACAAACCTCAAGGACCCCTGGACCCATTTTATGTTGTACCTGCTGGATAGGAGTCTTGCATCATGCCCTGCGCCTTCATGTGTTGTGAGTTTGGCTCTGTGTGGAGGTACCATGGGTACTGCAGTATTGTGATATGCTACTTGAAAGAAATTTAAAAAAACAATGTTTTTTATATGATTATAGTTCGTCTGTCACATCCATGCAAATGAACTATATAGTCATATGGCAACTTACCATGCCTGGCGCTCGGCATTTAGGGCTAAACAAGGACTGGTCGGCTCTATACTGTGTCTGAGTGGGGTATTCATGTTAAACTGTGCCATGGTGTATTCAGTGGGCTGGCACTATAAATTCAGCATTACTCCAGCCAAGTACAAGCAGACGCATGAACGCACGCACGCACACAGGCATGCAGACACGTGTCGCAATATAAGTGCAATAATCTTGAACATGATGTTAAACACCATTTCCACCTGTGTAGATACGGGGTAGAATACATCTTCAGCAACCCATGCTTGCCGTAAAAGGCAACTCTGCTCGTCGTAAGAGGCGACTAACAGGATCGGTTGGTCAGGCTTGCTGACTTCGTTGATGCATGTCATCGTATCCCAACTGCGTGGATCGATGCTCATGATGTCAATTACTGGATTGTCTAGTCCAGAGTCAATTACTTACAGACCGCTGAGTGCGACGTTAAACAACAAACAAACAAAAACTCCATTTCAGCTCATCTCATATGAAAACACTTCAGTGTTTCTTAGCTTCCATTGAGTAGTATATATTGAATTGTGTGGATGTGAATCAGATTGTCATGAAGTTGTGTTCAGGATGGCTAAGCATCAATAAGTAACAGAACACTCACATTCCTGTCAACAGGGAAAATAAAACTAACACTTTCATAAACATTTGATACTGAAACTGTTTCATGACTTTGCCCTGTAAGCTACTGCTTGGTTATTCATGTTCACAGAGTCAACAAACACCTTTTAAAAATATTTTACGATTTCAATATTGATTTAAGATGGAATTTAAAATTTCCTATTATTGTGCTGTCACTTCTCTAGATCTACATGTATGTGAAATTACAACTATAAGCGCAATCTAGTGTAAATTATCCCATTGTCATGTCATATTTCTGGTTTGTAGAGCCTAAGGGTATTGTGTGTTGACAATGTATGTAATGAAAGGTCTAGTCCCCTGGCAAGTCATTCCCACACAGCAGTGTGAGGGGTGGCGGTTGTCCCTGCCTGTTATTGACAGTGAAGTAAAGGTGTGTTTAAGCACACTGTGTTTACATCTCTGCTGAGTCCACATGGGAATTAATGTACACAGTCAGTGAAGCAGGGCAGGCTATTTTACTATTTCCGAGCTACTGAGTCTGGGCTATTCATCCTGCCATGTTTGTCCTGTGGAGAGGAGCTGTTTTCTGTTGAACAAGGTTAAAGAAAACAGGATTGTTAATTGGAGAATGTCAGATTATATTGAATCTGTGGATGGAAATATTTTTTCATGTTGAAGTGGTTATACATTCCATTCCATATATCTAATATGTCCCCTGGGGGTATTGTCGTGTGTTACCATGGTTACAAATAAAAAAAAATGTGGATCTGTGAAATTTAATAATAATATTTTTAACAACGTTTGTGAGAATGCACACTTAGGTAGACTTTTTCCTGCAGTATGTGCAGAAATGTTTTTTGTGTTTATTTCATCAAAAGTGTGTTATGACAGAAATTGCTTGTTGTAAGGATCCACTTGAATCTCATACCAGCAGGAATGTTTTCATGTGTGCTGGAATGTATTCATATCTTATCTAGAACAATCATTTTAGCCGAACTGTAAATCATGTCACAGTTTGATACAGGCCTGTACTTTGTGTTCAATCCTTTACAACCTCTGTGTTTTCTTTAACTTGCTTAGTCGTCTAAGAGTTACCTCCCTTAGCCATGTCATGATCCACTTGTCAAAACTCACATTCACCCCAATTATCGTAAATGCTTGAATAAATATCAGATTTGTGTGAGCACCTTGAATAAATTCTGCGTCAACTGATGCATCAAAAGAAGTAAGCGCCCGACAACCACCTGGTCACACATGATGTGGAAAAGGGGATTACATAATCTTGCTTTTACAGTGAAAAGACCAAGAAGAGACATTTGAAACAAAATAGAAATTAATGTTAATACTTCACTAACAAACAATGTGTGCTACAAATACATACCAAGTCGAAGGGACTTCCTTACGAAGATCCGGGGTAGAATAGGTCTTCAGCAACCCATGCTTGCTGTAAAAGGCGACTATGCTTGTCGTAAGAGGTGACTAACGGGATCGGGTGGTCAGGCTCGCTGACTTGGTTAATGCATGTGATCAATCCCAATTGCGTGGAGCGATGCTCATGATATCAATCTCTGGATTGTCTGGTCAAGACTTGATTATTTACCATGTTTACAGACCGCCATCATATAGCTGGAATATTGCTGAGTGTGGCGTTAAACAACAAACAAACAAACAAACAACTTACAATTAAGCCCAGACATATATTCAAGCATTTATGATCAACATGATCAAGCTTGGTTTGTCGGTGCCGTATATATCATGTATACGGCCCCATTCCACGAGGTGATCTTTGTGCTAATGTGGTCGTAACTCCCATACTTTAACTCAGGGCCAGAGCTCCAGATAGGCTGTGAATTTGCATCAAATACCCACAATAAATCACCACTGCCCAATTAATTTATAGTTCTTTGTGCTTTCCTCCCATATTAAGCTGACCAAATGATACATCTGATATACTGTTCAAAGCGTGGTAAACTCACTTATTCTCCCACTCACTCACTTACCAATATGTGACCTGTAATAGGGTTAGATTTTTTAAAACTTGTTTTTCGCCTCCGCCGATTCAAAAAATTTGAAATGTAAAAAAAAATTGAAAAGTGTAAGTGTTGTTTTTATCAGTCCGACCAGAAATAAGTAAAATGTTTTAAAAAACCCAACTCATTTACTGTTAAATACTATAATTAAACATATTGAAAATCTATATTACAGACTCCCGCCTCCACATTTCTTTCCTGCCTACTGTTTAATGAGGAAATAACTTACATGAGGTTTCAAATATGTTTAATTTTTTATTTTTAAATTTCTGCTGACTTGACATTTTTGCCAAAAATCTGTACCACCTCTTTGCTGCTAGCCTTAGAATATTAGAAGGCTCCAGCAGAGATGTGGAACATGTGCAGGCTATGTGTTCTGTAAAAGCCATGTACAACTGATGAGACATTCTGAAAGAGCATCCAATGTCTACTATTCTTTTCAGTGTAACCATGGTAACATAACTGACAAGTTGAATGCCATGGATGTATTGACGTGAGAGCACTGAGACATGTGAAATATTGTACTATGTGCAGTGTTGTATAAGTGTTGTACTTCCCTCTTTCCAGCCCATATAGGAGCATCGTCAGGCGGCAAGAAGAAGGCTGACTTTGGCTCTGGGAAGCAGACTCTGAGACTCCGCGCCAATGGACCTGCCACGGTGGAGGAGGTAAACCAAACAAAGAACTGTAGGACTGGCAAGAAATGAAGTCACGATGTGATGATACTTTGTACAAATTATTTGTAGGCCAAACACATTTTTGTAGTAAAATTCTGAATATGTCCTAAAAAGATGCAAAAGCACCTAAAAAGCTCCATTTTTGTATTCAGCTGATGCATCAGGTTAAACTGCAAGATAAGTTGTCACACAATCTTCTGAAATGTATTTTTGGTATTTTTTCATTCTGAATTTTAGATTAACTGTGTCACTGGTATTAATTTTTAAAAACTCTTTCATCTTTTAACAAGAAACTGCAGGCAGCTGACATATCACCAAGTTTACAGATGTATTTCTTTATGTTTCTCATCTCATGCTGGTCCTTTTCAGTAATTAAAGAAGTTCTTATCCATAAATTGTGTCTACTTTGAAGTAGTCTCACTCAAGAATATTATCTTTTAATATGCTTTAATATAAATCATCCCAACCTGCAAAAAGTTAATGATTGTTTTTTTTTCATGAAAATATCTTTGCTTTATTTTATCATAAGGATGTCTGAAGGAGGGAAGTAATTCTCATTACTGATTTTAAGCCCTTCGCTTTTTTATGCTCCCATTACCAAAACAATATTCCTCAACCATTTCACTTTGAATACAGCACAATAACTATCAAATTGGGAATTAATTGAGCACAAGTTATTATTTGTATTCTCTGCTAAAGGCAATTTTGACCAAAACACTTTTTTCTTCTGACCAACAGCTTTCTCTGAAACTGAGCAAAGAATTGGGAACAAAAGGAAAACATGTTTTTCGTAAGGTCCTATTGAATCATGTCAGTAACACTTAATGATGATGTTTCAGGATGATGATGTGAGCAGCATTGCCGTGGACAAGATCAACAATCTTCTAGAGTCGTACATGGGCATCAATGACACGGATCTGTGTAAGTACTTCATTGGCACTCTTCATAGGTGGCAAGGTGCTTGCCAGAGGCGTATTGGCATTCTCTTGAGATTGACATTAAAGAGGAGAATGAAAAAGATTATGAGTTCCAGTTGATAGATTTTGAAAGGTGCCTTGTGTGGATGGCGGATATTCTGAATTTACAATCACTTGGCCAACAGAAATCTTAACTGCCACCTTCAGGAATCTGAGGCGACCTCACCTTACCACCATCAGGACTTCTTGAACGACACTTGTCTATCTAACATGTTGATGCATGCATGTGAATCTCTGTCCTTTCTGCGAATACAGGGCCATTTAGCAGAAGCCATGTGGGGCACAACCTTTCTGACAGAATTACTACTGTCGCATTGCCATTCAGTGAGGAAATAGAGTCACTGAGCGCTACGATGGTAGCTGCTACACACGGTGGCATGCGAAACATCTATCTGAAACTCAGGGAGATGCAGATAGTCTATCGGGTCATGCCTTATTGGCCCAGTCAGAGTTGGTTCCCTGAGAACTAAGAAATTGTTTGAAAGGCATTACTTAGAAGTTGACGGATGGCAAAGTAGACAGAATTTATGGATAACAACTTCTTTAAACTTGTAAAGGCGACGTTTCGGAATAGATCCTTATACCATTGTCAAGCAAGACTGAATGAGGAACATAGTTCAGAATATATATAGTAGGTGGGGGATTAACAGTAACAACAATTGCAAACATGAGTAGGACAACATGAGTAAGTATTGACAACGGAAGGATAATACTGTCACAACACGATGGACAGGGAACACATAGGTGGAAGCCAATGGGACATGAAGTCAATTAGAACTAAGAAAGCTAGTTTCCTTGTTGGGAAAGACAGCTCATCCAGCAGGCACATCCTGTGCCAATGTCACTGGGGCCTTAGTGGAATTGTTTTGCAGCCTTCTGTCAAGGGAAGGAAATTAACCCTATGAAGGCTTCAGCTCAATTTATCGGTGATTATTTATTGTACTTGTGTGTATGACATAGAAGTTGCATGGAGGTACGTACTATTGGTATTTGTGTGGCAGCTATTGGTCTCATGTGGGACCTCGTAGCTAAGATTCAACAAGTAGGGAAGGAGAACTTATGATTTACCTCATGCTCCCAGTCTTTTGTCTTGGGTGAGCAAGATACAGCCGACTTATCGTTGTGCGGTGTTGGTGACTTCAGAGTAACGTCATAGAGCTCATCAGGCAATGATTGCTTCCAATCCTGGCAACTAATAACGAAACATAGGTTTCAAAGAATACCATGGCAGTTTGGTTGCATTCTTATCTGGATACAATGACTCTAACGCCCACTTGACCGTCCCTTGTCTGAAGACCCTTGAAGATCCAGGGTAGAATAGGTCTTCAGCAACCCATGCTTGCCGTAAATGGTGACTAAGCTTGTCGTAAGAGGCGACTAACGGGATCGGGTTGTCAGGCTCGCTGACTTGGTTGATGCATGTCATAGATCCCAGTTGTGTGGATTGATGCTCATGATATTAGTCACTGGATCGTCTGGTCCAGACTCGATTATTCACAGATGCGATCATATAGCTGGAATATTGCTGAATGCGGCGTTAAACAACAAACCAACCCTTGTCTGAAGTTCCATGTGGCTTGCAGTTGTGAGGACTAAGGGAGGTAACACAAGTCGGTGACCTGGCTGGATGGGGCCCCTAGAGACGAGACATGTTTTAGTTTTCCGTGGTAAAGGATATTCTGCTATGTTGTATAAGGATCAGTTTACTAATACAAAAAATATACTAATGTTTTGACTGTTGAAATTTGTAAAACCTTTTAGTTATATTGTTGAAATAATTGGTAAAATATGAAAAGGACGTGAAAAACATAATGAAAAAGTAACAGGTTACTTCCTGTCCTATATTGAAGTGCATGTAAAAGGAATTCAGGACTGAAACAGGTTAGCAGTTCCAGTGGGAAGAAAAGTTCTTTTCTCAGAAGGGGGCACAGGTAGCCCAGTCGTCTAATGTGCCGCAATTCGCTGTGCAGAGTTGCGTCCCTTGGGCAGGCCAGAAACTTATGATCATGGGTTGGAATCAAGGTTCACCCAATTATGAATCTAAGCTTGTCAGCACCGTACCCGTGCACATGGGTTTCAACAAAGTGGCAGGCGTCTGAGATCTGCATCACTTTGGACTTTCCTCCCACATTAAGCTGACAAGCCATGATATAACTGGAATACTGTTCAAATGTGTTAAACCCAATTTGTTCACGCTGTTTTGATTTTACATGTGAAAAGCGGGTGCTTGAGTCCGTAAACCGGTTGATTAAATAAAGATGCTAAATGATGCCTTTCCATGTTACAGCTCAGAGCATATGGGACATGGGCAAAACCTGCGACAACCCCAGCACGTTTGCCATCAACGTAGACGAATCGGAGTTTAAAGAGTTTGGATTTACTGATGATTTCATCTTCGACATGTGGGGAGCGATATCAGATGCTAAGCAAGGACGTCTGAAGGCAGCAGCGAAAGAATTTAACGAACAGTTTTAGATCCCCACCCACTACAGAGCGCATTAGGATTATAATGCTCTTTTGTATCTAGCATTTGCCAGACCTGTGCGGACACAGCCATCTGGCAACAATATATTCTTTGCGTCCACAGAGGCGTTGTCTGTCACATTCACATGAATGTACAATATATCGAGGATATGTTAGCATATTAGGGTTTGTCCATCATTTGTCTCTCTTACAGTCCCATATTCAATGATTAATAACGATGGGTATTGAAAGTCTGAAGCGTGTCACAAAATATTGCGATACGCAAGGCTGTATTGCGATACGTATCATGATATCATGTATAATGCCAAATTTTGAATTCAGTAAGAAAAATTCAGCTTCAGGTCTAACTTCTTTCATATGTTAACATTTTGTCCACGCAGAAACTGTGACTGATGCCATGTTAGGAGCCACAATCGTTGCCAAGTATTGTTGGTTGAAATGTCGAAATTACAAATCTGCCTAAGGGAGGTAACTAAAAACTAATCACGATCTTTGTGAGAAACAAATTACTTTGGAATAACGTGAACATTTTAAAGGTATTGCCAAGGTTATCACAAAACGCATTGCCAAAATTGATATTTGCAATCACCTGATACACGGCCCGTTAAACATAATATCGTGATACGTATCCTTGAAAGAACCAATTTACTTGAATACTAGGAAGACTGCATACACTTAATCATTAGCAACTAAGAAGTATAGGAACCCGGAAGGGTAAGAACTGCGTATGTTAAATATGCCTATATTGATGGGACCTGCATGGTGCCTTTAAGATCAGCATGACTGGCTTCATCTCCATAATAACTGCACAGTCAGACCCACCGTTGCAGACTGACCTTGAGACAACGTAGACGTTGACCTGCCAGGGAGGAACCCTTCCCAGGCTATTTATTATAAAGTGTATATAATCTATATGATCCAATGCTTGTTAATTTGAAGTATTGTATACGATGTCTACCCCTTGTTAGCTAACGTTAGACATAATGGGGGAGTGTTTGTTACTGTTGTGTTTTCTTATGCAAGTAGCAGTTTATTACAAGGGATGAAACACCACAAGCGGCAAATGATTGTGTGTTTTTATCTGCTGCAACTTCAAGCCTGACCACTCATATGCTTGCAGGAATTAATGGTGGAATATGATTGTCTTTCAAAATAGCGAAAAGTATCACATTGTTTCATGGTTGTCGGTGTATTGTGGACAGTCGCAACACATGACCTAATAGGGTTAAATTTCATTCTGAAATATTGGGTCTTATTCAATTTGACCATTGGAGACAAAATAGTATACCTCACTGTAGAATTGTATCCCCTTGCCCTGCAGGATCTGCTAGCTGTTTGTTACATTCCCAGTTAGGCCCTTGTTACCATGACAACCAGAAAACCAAAGTTCCTGATATGGCATTGGACAATATTTACTCAATCACGACAGTACCGTAAGTCATCTTTGTTCCACCTGAGACGTCCATGAAACAATGTTTCAGTCTAGCTGTAGGGTATTGTATATAGACATCTGATAGCCTCCTTTGACGCATGCTGCCATGCCTTGCATTGTGTATATATGGTCTCCTGCGCTAGCATCTTGTATAGAGATCACAACCCCAAATGCACTTTGAGCCATGCTCATTGAACAAATGAACGACACTTGTTAAATATTTATTTGATTTTAAAAATCCTATTATGTATTTTCATACAGTGTTTTATTCATATAGTTACCGTTTCAAATTCTTTTACTCTTTTTCTGGCAATAATAATGATGCAAACGTTTAAATTATGTACCTGCCTTAAAATGGCATTTTGGATAAATGTCATTTCAGATCATGCGTCTAAAGTCTTGTAATTACAGCTGCCAGTATGAGTGATTTTAGTGAACCACTTTCAGTTTTACTCTCACCCACCCAATGTTAATCAATGGATCCCTTAGTAATGCCAGTTAATGAGTAATGGTCACTCAATATGGTCCAAATTCCAGGCACCATCGACATCATCCCCAACATTTCCATACCTTGATTACTATTCCGCCAAAGTTAGGAGCCCATCTACACAATAAATGTCATTTCATCAGAATTATGTATTTCATATCTTGCAAGGATGTTTGATGTATGTTTAAATATTTTTGCACTTTTTGAGGTTGTGGTTACCATGGAACTGGTCAAGAGAGCAGGTTTCACTTTGGTCAGTTGGTCCAGGTAACTTACAACCCTTTTCTAAAATCTTTACTCTGATTCACATTGTCGATACAGGTTTGTATGCACTATGTTCCTCCATTGGCCATACATACATTCAGCGCTGTGGAGTAGTTGCCGTTTTTAGCCAACGAATCAAACATTGGCCTGGATCCATTGAGATGGAAACAATGGCTGTGTTCAGATAACATCGGCAATATTTCTTGTGCAACGTGCTCTTGCCTTGTGGTCTCCACCCTACACATGGTTAATATCAGGCAGTGGTGATGTCCACACAAAGTTTATTCACAGTGCTCAGAGAAATAGGGGCTGTGGGGTAACCAAGTGGTTAAAGCATTCGCATGTCGCGCCAAAGACCCGGGTTCGATTCCCAGCATGGGTACAATATGTGAAGCCCATGTCTGGTGTCCCCCGCCGTGATATTCCTGGAATATTGCTAAACGGGGCATAAAACCATACTCACTCACTCATTTGAGTAATATGGTTCCTTTTTGTTACTTGACTGAAGGGGGTAGCCTAGTTGTAAAAATGCCTGCTTGTCACAAGGAAGACCAGGTTCGATTTCCCACATGGGTACAATATGTGAAACCCATTTCTGGTGTCACCCGCTGTGATATTGGTGGAATATTGCTAATAGCCGCGTAAGAACATCCTCACTCACTCACTCAACTGAAAACAGGCACGTGCCACTACGTCACACCCTGCATAACATCCCGATGTATTCCCAGGTGGAGGAACATATTGGCAGGTATTTACGATGCTTGATTAGCGATGTAATCTTTTGCTGTTAACAGTTCCTAATCACATTAACTCTTATTCCTAGCCCTGAAAATTGTAGTTGCAACTAAAATGCCACTCAAAGCCATCATCGACATCACACATACTTCTCAACTGTAAGTTCATTGGAACCCTATCTTTAATTCAAAATGATGATCAGTTTTGGTGTATCACAGAATGAATTGAAGATCATTTTCAAAAGTTGGTTAGAAAAGAAAACATACTGGGGCCCTGTTCCACAAATCATAGCGCAACAAGTCTGTTTTCCTGTAGGAGTTACGATCACCTCAGCACTATGAACGCTTTGTGGAATGGACACCTGATCAACAGAAATGGAATATCTTGTTGAGAAACTCATCACATTCGACCACATTAAACTTGATTTTTGCTCGCTGATGTTTATTTTAAAAACCACGAAGACACATCTGTATCAGCCCATGTATTCTCGTGATGGCTTGTTCCGAGTTTCCACAGTTTGTCTGTCTCTGCACAAAGCCCCATGTTGATAACAGCATAATTTCTAAATCTATTCCTCTAGGTCCTGTATATAATTCTTGTGTATCGCATCTAGGGAATTGGAATGCGTTTTAGTCAATGTTTAATGTTTCCCGTAAATACATGGAAAGGTTACATACAGAGCAATTCTGTCCCAAGTTTTGTAATTGTCACATTCTACAAAATAAATTGTCTCACAATTTTATTCATTTGATTTTCGCTTTCTTATGGAATTGGTATTTGCCTTTTGCTTGTGGGTATGAATTCAAACTACAGTTGACAGTACTCCAGGAGTGACTACCATTTGTTCACCTCATTATTGAGAGAAGTGTTGAACATGAAAGTTTTCAAAATATAATTTTTTGTATGTTTCACATCCAATGTTATGACAAATTATAGAAATTTTGCGCATTGTCTATTTATGTTTATAAATTGTGTTGTGTGTATATTTTACTGATGGATTGTTTCACAAATGTTAAGTTGTGGAAAAAATTGTCCGATGTATCGTGTGTGTAACTTTTTATGAATGTATCCACGGGACTTAATTAAAAAAAGGGACAGGATATTATCCCAGTAGTAGAAGACCAGGTATGACAAGTTTTCTAATCAGAACTGAAGACAATAAATATCTTACAAATACTCACTGAAATATATTCTTTTGTGTAAATGGCCTGCCCAGAACTCTCACTTACTTCCCAGTTCAGGAAGAAAAGTTCATGCTAGGTGTTACTGACTTAAGAAGGGAGGACGAAGAAGGAACAGGTTAAATCAGGACAATAATACGTAGTCAAGGACATTAAAGGAAAGACTTCTTCTCTCGTGGCTGCCAGCGCCCCAGTGCCCCACCAATTTCGGTGGCATGTCTTCCATGACAAGGGCAGGTAACTCTAAATCAGATTTCAGTGGCATGGCTCTATTTTTTGTGACAGGTGAACTTTTCTGTTCCATTCTTACAGAAAACCAAAGGCCATCATACAAAAATGCCATGTTTCAAAATGCCATTAAAAAGATGGGACTGTTTGGTTTATGCCCCAGATAACTGTGTTAGCTAGACAGTAGCCAGCAATGTGCCGTGCCTGTCTGATGAAGCAGTCGTACAATCTCCCTTAGCTCCTGTTCAGAAGCTTTGAAAATGGTGTTTGCTCTACCATTTTTTCCATTTCGACGTGTTTTTTTTGATATTCTTCTCTAAAATGTGTTAATAAATTTGATACAGTGCTATATTGAGTATTTGGCCGGTCCTTAGAGACCAATAAGATGTGACCTTGCCTAGACCTAATGACTAAAGCCTGCAGTCATATAATTTTGAAATATGAAACAAATAGGGGATATGAATGATTTAAAGAATTTTGAAACTTCTATATTTGATTTTGCCTCATTTTATTCACAGGTGCTTAAGTTTTCTAAAACTGATGCTCTATGTTAGTTCTTTATAGCATTATTTTGAAATTGAAGAAACCTTTTTTCAAGAGTTTGTTGTTAGATGATAGACAAGTATCTTGTTTGTGACTGGTTTTCGAGCTTTGGCCATTCATACTGAACAAAAAAGAGGGATCATGAAGGTTTTTGGATATTTGTGTATAATTGTGTGCTCAGTCGTCACTACAGAAAATAATCACAAAACATATTCATAATCCCTCATTAAAAACATTCAGTCTATTTTTAGCAAGAGCTTAGTAATTTCTACAATGTAAGAATACCTGGAGCTGTTGAAGAATCCAGTTTTGTGTCAATATGACTGTAAAGTGACCTAAGTGGTGATGTAAGGTCACAGATATATTTTTATTACTATCAGGTAGAGTTTAGAGAGTGATTTATTTGGTTTTCAGTTGTTGGTTAATACTGTAATGTTAAGCATCTGTTGGAGTTTGTCACGTTAACTGGGAAAGTCGCTAACTGTGTAGTGTCAGAAAACCATGGTTATTGAATATCGACATGTCTGTTAGGAATACCAAAGTAGATTGTAAATGTATATTGTGTGATTTGACAATATGCTTGGTCTGTTCTCCATGTTGGACAATAAAGTTTTCATCACACATTCACAATTTTGCCATTCTTGGTTGTCATGTAGCTTACCTTGACTGAAGGTTCAGGTGAGCTTTCATAAGGGCCTGCTTGACCTAGTCATGTTTTTGTCTGCTAACATTCCTGAAACTGTTAGCCTGGTCAAGATGTCAGCAAGGTCTGAAACAACATGGTAAAACTGAAACCATTGGTCTAATGAAGCTGGTAATGCTGGCATGGTGAGGCCAAAACTGCTGGCATGGTGAGGCAGAAACTGCTGGTCAGGTGAGGCAGAAACTGCTGGCATGGTGAGGCAGAAATTGCTGGCATGGTGAGGCAGAAACTGCTGGCATGGTGAGGCAGAAACTGCTGGCATGGTGAGGCCAAAACTGCTGGCATGGTGAGGCAGAAACTGCTGGCATGGTGAGGCCAAAACTGCTGGCATGGTGAGGCCAAAACTGCTGGCATGGTGAGGCAGAAACTGCTGGCATGGTGAGGCAGAGACTGCTGGCATGGTGAGGCCAAAACTGCTGGCATGGTGAGGCAGAAACTGCTGGCATGGTGAGGCAGAAACTGCTGGCATGGTGAGGCCAAAACTGCTGGTCAGGTGAGGCAGAAACTGCTGGCATGGTGAGGCAGAAACTGCTGGCATGGTGAGGCCAAAACTGCTGGTCAGGTGAGGCAGAAACTGCTGGCATGGTGAGGCAGAAACTGCTGGCATGGTGAGGCAGAAACTGCTGGTGTGGTGAGGCCAAAACTGCTGGTTTGGTGAGGCAGAAACTGCTGGTATGGTGAGGCAGAAACTGCTCGTATGGTGAGGCAGAAACTGCTGGCATGGTGAGGCCAAAACTGCTGGCATGGTGAGGCCAAAACTGCTGACATGATGAGGCAGAAACTGCTGGCATGGTGAGGCAGAAACTGCTGGCATGGTGAGGCAGAAACTGCTGGCATGGTGAGGCAGAAACTGCTGGTGTGGTGAGGCCAAAACTGCTGGTTTGGTGAGGCAGAAACTGCTGGTATGGTGAGGCAGAAACTGCTCGTATGGTGAGGCAGAAACTGCTGGCATGGTGAGGCCAAAACTGCTGGCATGGTGAGGCCAAAATTGCTGGCATGGTGAGGCCAAAACTGCTGGCATGGTGAGGCAAAAACTGCTGGCATGGTTAGGCAGAACCTTCTGGCATGGTGAGGCCACAATTGCTGGCATGGTGAGGCAAAAACTGCTGGCATAGTGAGGCAGAAACTTCTGGTATGGTGAGGGTGAAACTCACCACGACCTTTTATACCCTCAATACCTAGGACCAACCATGGTAACAACGAGTTCCATCTTTTAACATATTTTGGTATGAAGCTTTATGGATACCAACCTCTGGGTTAATGCATTTAGCGACGTTTCGATTTAGATGGCGTGACTACAACCAAGTGATGATATATATTTGTGTGCAGGTATATGATATGTGGCAATGTCAAGCGTCAACCTAACCTTCCTCATGCGATGTCCAGTCCAGCAACCGCCTATGCTATACCTCTCATCACTCCCTTGTAGTCACTCCAGCTTGATAACGACAAGCATGGGTTGCTGAGGACCAATCTAACCAGGTCCTCACGGGTCTTTTATCATCTATAGAATTTGGTGCGTGTAATCCACCTTACATGATGTCCGTTCATTAAATATTTAATCTTATCTACTGAAGATACATTTTGCAATGACAACCATTACTCTTACTACATGACTCTTTAGAAAATATCAACGAAAGATCATCTTTCGATAAGGGGGCGGTCAGGTAACTTAGTGGTTAAAGCGTTCTCTCTTCATGCCTAAAACTCGGGTTGCATTCCGACATGTGTACAATGTGTGAAGCCCATTTCTGGTGTCCCCCCACAGGAACTCGTTATTGGTCAGTAAATAAAAATAAATACCCCCTATATGAAAGGGGGGTATATATTTTTATTTACTGACCAATAACGAGTTCCTGTGTGTCCCCCGCTGTGATATTGCTGGAATATTGCTAATAACGACGTAAAACAATACTCTCTCACTCTTTCGAAAAGTTGTTTCGTTTGTACTTCAGATAAAACTAAGAGAGCACAGTCAACATCTTAAGTTTCATTTGCTTTGACACTGGTATTCTGTATCTGATATTAAAGCAATGAATTGCCATGCCAATACACAAATAGAGACAGAACAGGGGAGGTAACTTCTACGAGCATACTAAGCGCTTTAAAAGGGCAATATGAGAAATACTCGTAGCCGAAAGAATGGCTTGTAAGGAAGGTCCGGGTTCGATTCCCTATACTGGTATATGCATGTAACACTTTTTTGTGGTGTCTCAAACTGAAAGTGACAAAACAATTGGGGTGACTGTGGCATTATGTCACGAGCCCATATGCTTCAAGTTTGATCAACGACTTGGTAGCAAGAAGAAATAGAAATGTCTCCTTTTATATAAGGGAAACGGGTGCACCATCGTGACTTAGGCGTGCCAGAAACCTATGATTGTTGGTTCGAATCCCGGATCGCCTCGATATCGTGTCTATGTTTTTTAGCACAAACCCATGTTAGTGGGTTTCATCGAAATCTAACACTTACATCTCCTAGAAGTGTCCTAGGATTCGTGGTTTACGCCGAAATGATCAGTATTTCAGTTATGTCAGTTTAATGTATGAGGAAAGATCTAAGTGGTGCAGGCAATTACAATTTACTAGTAATATATCTTAATATATTCTCCTTGACTTTGAACTAGTATTACACTTCAGAATAGGTCCTCGGCACTTATAATGCATTTCTTTAGAGCAGACTATTGAGACACAGGGGGTCTCCTTTGGCTTCACATAGTCTCATTATCAGACACATGAGACAAAGGGACAAAGACAGTCACATTTGACCGATAGTTGATGAAAAGTGGCGGCCATTTTTAAATCCAACATGGCCACCACAAACGTTTGTGGAAATACATGCAACATCATCTTTCTCAATCAGTGATGTATTTTGAATTTTTTTTAAAATTTGGTTGCTAAGATTCTACCCCAAAATCTCTTACATAAGTAATTTCTTACATTAGCCCATATACCAAGTATTTAATTACATTTCCGAGACTATGCTTTCTCGCGGCTTGAGACACGGTATTGCCTTGATACCACCAATGGGTCAATAAGGGTATTTAAAGTTTTGGTGATGCAATGCTGGAAGAAATCCCATCCCAGACATCTATCAATTAGTGCACCACGAGGGGATGGTGCTGAAATACCAAGATTCAAAGTGACGACTGGAACGACAGGGAACCCGGCATCTCAATTCAGTAAGTCGGATTGACAAGTTTCCTCTTTTGATAAAAACGAAATAGTTTTTATCTGTTTCACTTCTGCTTTGTTTTCTGTATGTGAAAGTGTTTTGCGTGGCTTCAAACCAGTTATCAAACGACTTGATTACCTAGTTTGTTTCAGAAAGACTCCGTGTGACCCAGGTAACTCAACGGCAGGTATACAGATAGGATGGCTCAGTAGCCATCGGCATCGGCTGTCTTGCAAACTTATGATATTGAAATACCAAGATTCAGTCCTGTATAACTAAGAACCCAGCATCTCCGGTCTTCTGAGTTTCCATTCAGACGACTTGATAACCTAGTTTATTTCAGACAAGCTCCCTTGAAGATTCGGGGTAGAATAGGTCTTCAGCAACCTATGCTTGCCGTAAAAGGCGACTATGCTTGTCGTAAGAGGCGACTAGCGGGATCGGGTGGTCAGACTTGATTGATGCATGTCATCGATCCCAATTGCGTGGATCGATGCTCATGATGACAATCACTTGATTGTCTGGTCCAGACTCGATTATTTACAGACCGCTGTCATACAGCTGGAATATTTCTGAGTGCGGGTTAAACAACAAATAAAAAACTATTTCAGACAACGCAACGTCAGATATGATATAGACTGGCCCAGTACGCTGTCTTGCTGTAGGTGTGGGTTCTCACCTGTGTGCTGTTTGAGAAGCCATGTTATGATGACAATACCCATGCTGTACATTACCGGTGCCACATCAATCGGAAAAAGTGTCAAATTAAATTTGAAACACAAAAGTTTGTATCCATTCTTATTCATAAATAAGACTTAACAACTTTTGTTCAAGTAACAAAACACTTGTTTTTCCCCTTTGTTTCGTCCTTTGAAAATACCTGCGGAAACAAAAAAATAGGAAACACCGTTGTTTTCCTGAAATTGATATTAATAGGTTCAGTACACTATCACAATTCAATTCTTTACTTCTGAATAAAGGTGAGCTTCGATAGCGTTGTCAAATGTCGAGGAAGGATACAGAATCAAGGATCAGGGCGAAGCAGAGGCCTTATTCAGTATTCATACGATGATAACGTCTGGCTTCATCAGTAATGATTAGAGCTAATTACCTCTGACAACGTTACAATTAATAAAGTCAATATCGCCATGTTTCCTACCCACATATAACCTTACGCTGGCGTCGAGAGAGGTAAATGCGAATTCTAACCAAATCGCTTCTTGAGAATAATATACTCCCTTGGGGGATGTCAAGATGCATAAGCCCCTTTACTGGCGCCCAATGTCAGGTTTTCCGGGGAGGGTGATAATGTCTTGCCAAAGAGCCTTAAGCAGTGACCCGCTGGAACAGAGCCGCCATCTTGTTTCCGGGCAAGAAGCACCTGAATGTAATTGTACGTCATTGTTGTCGACCATTGTCTGTACTCGTTGTCTCCGGTGATGCTTGAGCCTCTATTAGCAGGTTTTAATCTACGTTATCTTGGCTTCCGTTTGCGAAAGGAAGAATGGATGTTGACGTGTGTTCTGGCTCGTTTACAAGTTGATGACGAATGCGCTGGGCGTCTTATTGCTCCAATGTGCTGATGGCCACATCGGCGGTATTCAGCCTCTGGATGTTTTCCCACATACTACGTGTGCATGCGAACGTGTTTCCATTTATTATGTTTTAAGAAACAACTGAGCCCTAAATATTAGGTTCACCCTGGATCCAGGTACGCCACCTACTCCATCAACAACAACCCCGCCCCCACCC